TCTTGTACAGGACCATATAGGCATCTAAAGATTTAAATGCCCTCAGTTTCTCTTTACGATCGGTTTCTCTATAAGGTAGGTGTAGAAGTCAGGCCACTCAACCGAGGTAACGTACGTCAATCCTGTCAGATCATCCATGCATTGAGTGAGTGTGTAGGCGGCTACAGGTCAGCCAATCTGGTTCCGTCTATTAAAGAAAACTTTTGGAAATAACAATCGCGGTCCTGGACACTGAGTGACCTTACACATTAAGATAATATCAGATTTTCTCCAGTCATTGTTAAAAAACAAGCTAACAATCCTTGCTAACTAGCGTTAGTGAAGCAGCCAGAGGGATCGTTCTGCCTCCACCTAAGCTCCGCCCACAAAAAAACATCACCATGTTTACCAACTGAAAAGGGGTCTATAAAGAAAGCGCACTTTGTCGACATCTTGCACCTCTGCAAGGTTTAGCCACGGGGTACTTCTGCCCGAGCAAAGCATGGCTATCCAGAGTGGTGAATGATGCGCTAGGTTGCAGTGACAACCCGTGTCTTTAAAAAGACGCTCGCCATCAACTTGCTCTTTTTTGGGAAAAAGCTCTCTAAGTGCTGAAGCGCACTGCAGGCACGGTCGCTACATGGCGTGCAAGACCCACTTAAGGCAGTCAGCACTGCAGCATGTGAAATACTCTTTTAGGATAACTGCAATGGATTAAAATTAAGCTCAATTAGAAGCAACCACCGCCGACACACCAACACTCTCTAAAGCGCTTCTTCCTGGTTCATTGTACACACTTGATGATTGAACAATGATTGCAGAGCAGAATCCAGCGAAACGCTCGGCTCCCAAGCAAAAGCTGAATGGGTGAGTTCAGCACACTTCTATTCACACTTGCTTCACAGAGCATGGTTTGCGATGCAAATCTCACTCCCCAATGTACATTGGCTTGTTTCTTTTATACTCAAATGTGATTGAGATTTGAGATCCCAATTCGTCAGTTCACTCTGATGTAATACTGAACATGACTGACTGATATGGATCTAATTAACAGCCAGAGAAACTACCCAGGGAGGCAGAAACGGAACACAGGGAAAAAGAAACCATAACAGACTATACGTGACAATGACAAAGTGAAGTGACGTGAAGTGTAGCCAATATTGTACGTGTACTCGGGATTTGTGCTCTGCATTTCACCCATCCAAGTGCACACACACACAGCAGTGAGGAGTGTATATAGCTCTATACTCCTACGTGTTTGTCACAAATAATTCATATCACATGATTGATAAAAGCAAAAACATAATTAATTTTAGTAAAGTTGCTGTAAAGCAATATGTATTGTGAAAAAAAAAATGTATACATAGAATCGCAGTTCTCTTTCTAACAACCGTTCGGTATCTCACTATGGGAGCAGGGATGACAGACCGTGCAGCACCACCAATCGTTTCAGCGATAACTCGCTGCAGCCCACTGCTACATCATTCTCACTTTCTTCCCCGTGAAGATTGTGGTAGCTGTACTCGCTGACACATTATTATTGTATTTACTGCTGAACAGTTTACGAAGCCAACCGGTGATGTTGGAAAAGCTGTAAATCTTATATATTACTGTTCGGAGTGCGTTTGCTAGAGTGGGAAAATGTCTGCGTTAAAGGGATAGTTCACTTTGAAATTAATTTTTGATATGTTTTAGCTTACCTCAAGGGCATCCAAGATGTAGGTGTCTTTGTTTCCACAGTATTTTCAATTTTTATATTTTTTGGTCAAACCGTTGTTGTTGTCTATCAGTCATATAGTGCAGGTTTAGGGGGTCCATCCTCAGTTCACCTCAAAGAGCATGCACAGAGGAGTCAAAATTAAACATGATTTAATGACTCTTAAATGTAAATATAAAAGCTTGATCATTTTTCTGGTGCGATAATTTCCATTTGCATGCTTGTTTGTTTTCCTCATCTCTCTCTCTACCAAAGAGACTGGATAACAACTTTCGGTTCCTTAGCATGAACTAGAGCTTAGATTCTCTGAACTTGACCCGACCCGCGGGCCGATATTTTCCGACACTATACTCTGGCCGGGCCGGGCTGGACCCTTGATCTAGAGACGTGCACTCACAACGCAATAGAGTGTGATGCGGCACTAGATTTGATGGTCGAGTGTGAGTGCGGGCGGTATATGCACTCTGTGTGTGCACACTGTGCAAAATGCGGGAGAATAAAACGATTTGCGGGACTCCTGCAAACTAGAAATATATAGGAATAAAACATATACAAACTAATTGATTTGTGTTAATCTATTGCTGAAAAGCAACAAGAACAACTAAAACAAAATAGAAACTATTTACAGGCCAGAGTTTCTATTCATAACATGTTTGCAGCATTGAGCGATGTAGCCTATCACAGACATACATGTTGATTTCTAGGAACACAAAGGCCAATCAGAAGCATTTAAGATAGACTTCCGTCACCGCTCAAAACTGAATTTTTGTTCAGTGCTGAATTCTGTATGCTGGCAAATCCTCGAATTATAACAAACAAAGTGTGGATATTATGAAAGATTCATTGTGCAGTCAGCTTCATTGATAATAACAGAGATGTGTGAGATTGTGACGAACTGTCAGCTTTTTAGGAATTATTAAGGGAGCGCATTTTGCACACATTCAGTCATAATAATAATAATAATAATTCGTTACATTTATATAGCGCTTTTCTGGACACTCAAAGCGCTTCACATAGAAGGGGGGGATCTCCTCAACCACCACCAATGTGCAGCATCCACCTGGATGATGCGACGGCAGCCATATTGCGCCAGAACGCTCACCACACACCAGCAGTCATGCCAAACCATGGCATGTAGCCTGCTTGCTTTTATGTTAAATTAACAGTGGTTGGTGTGCTATTGCTTTAATAACAAATCATTTATCATAGGGTGAGGTTGGGTTTTGTTTTCATCCATTTTATTTATTGTTTTTGGTATTTATTCAAGTGCATTTTTTGCTAACAGAGAGTCAATTGCTTTTATTGTTTTTGGTTGTTTTGTTCATTTAAAATGTTTTCCATTTTCAGTGTTTAATAGTCTTTAGAAATAAAGGTTTATTGATTTTTTGGTTTATTTAGGTTTATTTAATATTTATTGATATGCTTAGAATGATGTAGCTTGACAATATAACTACGTACATGACAATATGTACTACACTACAGAATTGCCTTGGGCTACCCATTTGACAGTCAGACCTATTTCTCAGATAATTCAAGATCAGGCTTAGTTCTTACTCACCCTGATCAGTTTCATGAAGATTTTACATTCATGAAGTTGCATCTCAACTCAAGTTACCCCAGTGATCAAACAGCTACCAAATGCAACAGGATTTTTTTTGAGGAAAAAATCCTTGGTATGAACCAAAGTCACCTGAGAGTCTGGAAGCTTGTTTCCACCACAAAATAAAAAATAATTGGAAGTTTATATCGGTAGGAACCAAAGTCACCTGGGAGTATGGAAGCTTGTTTCTGCCACAAAATAATTGCAAGTTAATATCTAACAATTCTGAGATACAAAAAGTCTGGATTTCAAGTTATAAACTCACTGCGAGAAAAAAAAGTCATAATTGTGAGATTAAAATGTCACAATTACCTTTTATTATTTATTGATAAACTATGGGAGTCTGAATAGTGAGAACTAAACTTGGAAAAATTTTAGAATTGTGGGATAAAAAGTACATTAAAAAGTACCTTAACTACCTTTTCTGAAAGCTGAATATAATTGTTTAGCAACAAAGAATTGACCAATAAGTTGGAATGTCCCTTGCCTCAAAAAATATTCACATGATTTGTATAGTCAGAAACTTTCACATGATGTATTTCTAATCAGTTTGGGGGGAAATCTAAATGTCAAACTGTGGTGTTAAATAATTGGAGTAAAGAATATACCATTTTTAAATGCTTTAATCTTACTGTTATATGACCTAAAGAGTAGGACAAACTGATGGTTCAGATGGTACATTCAAGAACAACTAATGTGCAAGTCAATACCATATCATGTTATACATGCATATGTACTGTATATATAAATGTATGTATTTGCCACATGTTATACATGCAACATGTGACAAAGCATTTGTCACACATAATTAATACCATATGATTTGCATCCTCACTCTGAACAACTTTGCCTCAAGGACCACTGCTGTCAATTAAAATGTTATATCTTGAATTATTTGCCATAGCTTAAAAAATCAATTTACTCTGATGATCAAGGAAGTTGGATACTAACACCAAAACAGCTATCCACTTCATCCACAGGATCGATTTGTTCAAATCGGTTTGTTTAAGTGATGTTCTTCAAACAAAACCTTGGACCCAGATCAGATGAATATACTTATGGCTGATGCTGAAACCCTATTGTACAGACTTTCAGCTGTTTGCAATGAACAACTCAAATAAAAGTAATTGAAATAGCTTAACACAACAAATGTTCAGAACACGACAATCAGCATGGTGCACAGGCTTATACTTTTTTTCACAATGTTAAATGACCAATTCCATGGAACATAAAATAGTAATAGAAGATTTATTGTCTTAGAGCAAATTATAACACTGCCATGTGGAAATTAACAGAAATTAATTATTAATTATTGAAATTATTAAAAATTAATTACTGCAAACATGAAAAGAGGTTCAACACAGTGATTTATTGATTGTTGTTTGTTCTGTTGGGAGAAAGGTGAGAAATAACCAACAGTACATATTGTAATATTAATATCACACACACACACACACACACACACACAAACACACACAACATTTTCCTCTGCTCTAGCTCAGATCTAGAAGGCATGATCTAGAAGGCAGCTTTATTGAACCCCATGAAAACACAGGCTCCCACAATGAGCTCAATGCAAATAAACAAGCATATCATTTCTTACAACAACCGTTTACATCGGGTTTGAGGAAAATATACATGCCGTATCCAAGATGTATCTATTCCCAACAAAAACCGTCAGTAATAAAAAAAAAAAATACTCACCGCAAAGCAACTGCATCCAAGCGCAGGTTTTGTAGACGGTGGCGGTGTTGCAGAAGAAGAAGAGCGCCATACAGCCGATGCAGCTCAAAATGAGCACCATGGACAGCAGCACGAAGAAAGAGGCCGCCTTAAACGCGCCGGACGGGATGGAACTGAAGTCGGAAAATGTTCCCTGGCAAATCAGCTCCCGGTTCGAGTTACCGTCGCCCACGCAGTAATGGAACAACCCGAAATAACCGGCATGTGGTGTACTCACGCTGTCCCCGATCCAGTATGGTTGGATGAAGACTACCACGTTGATGGTAGCGAAGCAGATGGTGAAGATGGCCCACAGTACACCGATGGCTCGAGAGTTACGCATATAGTTGTCATGGTAAATCTTTGAGGCTTCTTGCGAAGGTAGCATTTTTTTTCTCGCTTGCTCCCAACCGTCTACTCTCCTGTGATTTGTTTCTGCTATTTCCGGCGTCTCTATCTCCCCCTATCTACCCCACCGGTACCCTCAGAAATGCGCTTCTGCCGCGAGTCCACTCACTGGAGATAAATAAAGATTTGTCTGATTGAAGTAGTAAAGAGGTAAACGGTGTCCTTCCTTGATTTGATTAGCCTACCAGATACAGTACGTCCTTGTCACATCAGAATTGATCATGAAACAAGGATCAAAAAACAAAAATCATTGATTGGAGCGTTTTGATAATGCATTCGGTGAATGAAAAAAAACCCCGTTCTGTTCCTTTCCACCTCCGCTCTCCGTGCAAGAATGCAGGCGAAACGATTGAGATTACATGGCAAAGTAAATGTCTATGACAATATCGACAATTCGCATTATTGCTGCTCAATGTGTCTGGGTATAAATAGCATATCCGGTGCACCTCTCATCGGCTGTAATGCTGTCAAGATCTCAATTACGGATCTTCCGCAGACGAGCGAGAGCAGATCAAATGAAAGCTGGAACATCAGCAAGAGGCGTCGGCGTCGCACATTGTCGTAAAAATAACCTAAAAAAACAAACATCTGATTTTCATTCAGAAGAGCACTTCGTTTCCCGGTTTAATCAAAACCACCGCGTCTCCGTTTTCCCGTTGGCTATTTTTGCAGCGCGCACACGGTTGGTGATGTTCAAAACGGCTCTGGTTCAGTCAGAGCTCCCCATGAACGCGCGTACACGATTTGGGTGATTGCAGAAATTTCAATAAGTATACACGCCCCTTTAACATGCGTCAATACAAAGTAGATGAAATTGTTTCCATATTATAGACCACATTACTGTTGTATGGCTCGGTTTATTTTATATCCTATGGCAGGAACGGATGCAATCAACGATAGAGAAAAATACAAATGTGTTTATTCATCATTTATGTGCTTTCAGCATGAACCCTTACCAATTTATTATATCTGTGGAATATGGTACCAACAATAAATCATGAATTTATTACTTATGGAATTCAAATACTTTTTTTCTTTGTACAGCATTTTTATTCAGACAGAATAAAATAAAAAGAGTTTTTTTTTTCACTTATTCTAATCTCACATGCTATTTAACAGTGATAGTATGGACATATGGATGCAGGGATACAAAATGTGCAGAGTGGGTCATAAGGATCAGGATTTAGAACCACTGTAATAGAATTAATGCTTTATGCTGTTAACCAGCCGAATGCAGTATTACTAATTATGTATTTTCTTTCTTTACTCTTTGGGTATAAAACTGAAGAGTATGTACAGGCCAAGGCCAGGAGTAAGAGATTTTCATCCTGATATAGTCAAGATCAATTAAATATATTCAAGATCAGTTTTATCCTAAGTTCAATTGAAAAAGTTTGTTTGCAATTGTTTTTGCAAGATGTCCTTTCATGCGGAGCAATCATATTTTTGTGCTCAGACGGAGCTGAATAAACTTGAAGGTCATCTCATCAGTCCCTTTATTAGAAAAATATCACAAATATTATTTAAAAAAATTACAGTCTTTAACATGGAAAACAGGATTTATTTTATTTTCCTAAATCTATATGTCCATGTGAACTACACATGCCTGCTTTTCTATAATTGTATATGCAACCTGGGCATTAGAATAGATGTCATGGTTGTGTAAATGATAAATACATTTGTCCATAATAATACATAATGAGTATAAGAAAAAGTAACACTTTAGAATACTGTATCTTACTTACTGCATAACTAATAAGGAATTAATGAAGAACTAATAGGTAATTCTTTATTAACACTTAAGTCACTACTGTTAACTACGAAGGAAGTTGTGTTAACTAATCAGTATGTAATATAATTTTATGATTGTGTTAAGGATCAGTTAGTTAATCAATAGCTAATGAATTCTGTCATACCTCCTGAAGAACTACTATTAATTATCTATTGATTAAGGTTCAAGAAAAATAACTATGAAGTAACTACTAATTAACAGTCATACTAGTCAGTTTGTCATTCTTCAGCACTAATAAGAAAGATAAGTGCAGACATTTACCTATAGGCTATGATCTGCAAATAAGCAAAAACATATCATGTATATCATACCTTATTATTATAAGGTTTTAGTAAGTTTACAGTAAGGTTTACAGTAAGTTTGATTTGAGTCAGAAGTATAATTCTTTATTAATTACTAATGGGTTCCCTATATTGTCACTTTAGAATACTGTTTCAGGTTCTAAGTAATTTCTGAAGGACTATCTAATAATTATTTATTAATTACTAATAAGTTCCTTATATTTTTACTTTAGAAGACTGTTTCAGGTTATAAGTAGCCAAATTCCTAGATAATTATTTGATAATTCTTTATTAATTACTAATGGGTTCCCTGTATTTTCACTTTAGAATACTGTTCCAGCTTCTAAGTAATTCCAGAAGGACTATCTAATAATTATTTATTAATTACTAATAAGTTCCTTATATTTTTAGTTTAGAAGACTGTTTCAGGTTATAAGTAGCCTAATTCCTAGATAATTATTTGATAATTATTTATTAATTACTAATAGGTTCCCTGTATTTTCACTTTAGAATACTGTTACAGCTTCTAAGTAATTCCTGAAGAACTATTTAAAAGTTATTTATTAATTACTAATAAGTTTCTTATATTTTCACTTTAGAAGACTGTTTCAGATTATAAGTAGCCTAATTCCTGGATAATTATTTGATAATTCTTTATTAATTACTAATGGGTTCCCTGTATTTTCACTTTAGAATACTGTTACAGCTTCTAAGTAATTCCTGAAGAACTATTTAAAAGTTTTTTACAGTATTAATTACTAATAAGTTCCTTATATTTTCACTTTAGAAGACTGTTTCAGGATATAAGTAGCCTAATTCCTGGATAATTATTTGATAATTCTTTATTAATTGCTAATGGGTTCCCTATATTTTCACTTTAGAATACTGTTCCAGCTTCTAAGTAATTCCTGCAGAATTATTTGATACTTATTTATTAATTACTAATAAGTTCCCTATATTTTCAGTTTCCCTCAGTCGTTGCCTCAAATACATGAATTTACTCATTGGTATTCTATGCTGAGGAAAACAGACACACACAGTACTGTATATAAAATATACAAATAATCTGAGGTTAGTTTTATGACTGTTCATGTCACGTAGGGCAAGGAATGAAGTGGAGAGAGAATCCATGTGCAGAACTTATTTAATGAAATAAAAACATGTAACTTAACCAGAAACTCAGATCAGGAACACGGAACAGCAAGACAGGAACATCAACGACTGACAAGGAACAACTAAATTACAGGGGTATAAATACAGCGGAAAACTAGCTAGACAAGATAACAAGGGGGTGTGGTTAACAAGAAACACCTGGGAAGACTAATCAAACTAATGGGGAACTGAAAACATGAGAGGAGACAGGGGAACACAGACTTGAATATGACATAGCCCCCCACCTAAGGAGCGGATTCCAGACGCTCAAAAAACACAACAGTACAGGAGGGTGGTGAAGCGGAGGTGGTCTCGGGGGAGGGACGGAGGGCCAGACCCGCACTGGGAACCAATACCGGGATATAGCAAGGCGGGCCTGGATCGTGGAGCATGGGCGACAAAGGGCGGATCAGGCCATGCAGGCGGCCTCGGCGGTGAAGACCCCTCGGGCGGCCTCGGCGGTGAAAACCCCTCGGGCGGCCTCGGCGGTGAAGACCCCTCGGGCGGCCACGGCGGTGAAGACCCCTCGGGCGGCCTCGGCGGTGAAGACCCCTCGGGCGGCCACGGCGGTGAAGACCCCTCGGGCGGCCTCGGCGGTGAAGACCCCTCGGGCGGCCTCGGCGGTGAAGACCCCTCGGGCGGCCTCGGCGGTGAAGACCCCTCGGGCGGCCACGGCGGTGAAGACCCCTCGGGCGGCCTCGGCGGTGAAGACCCCTCGGGCGGCCACGGCGGTGAAGACCCCTCGGGCGGCCTCGGCGGTGAAGACCCCTCGGGCGTCCACGGCGGTGAAGACCCCTCGGGCGGCCTCGGCGGTGAAGACCCCTCGGGCGGCCTCGGCGGTGAGGGCCCTCGGGCGGCCACGGCGGTGAGGGCCCTTCGGGCGGCCGTGTCTGGTACACTGGGCCCCCCCCCAAAAAATATTTGGGCTGAGTCCCCGGATTAGAAGCAGACGGGGAGTGGACGGTCTCGGGCTGGACGGTCTCGGGCTGGACGGTCACTGGCTCTGGCTGGACGGTCTCGGGCTGGACGGTCTCGGGCTCTGGCTGGACGGTCACGGGCTCTGGCTGGACGATCACGGGCTCTGGCTGGACGGTCACCAGTGCTGGCTGGACGGTCACCGGTGCTGGCTGGACGGTCACTGGCGTTGGCTGGACGGGACTGGTCGGAACCAGCAGTGAGGGGATTTCAGATTCGGGAAGGCTGGATGGAACCAGCGGTGAAGAGAGTTCATGCTCGGGAGGACTGGACGGAACCAGCGGTGAGGAGAGTTCATGCTCGGGTGGACTGGACGGAACCAGCGGTGAGGGGAGTTCAGATTCGGGAAGGCTGGACGGAATCCGCGATGAGGGAAGTTTAGGCTCTGAAGGACTGGACGGAACCAGCGGTGAGGAGGATTCAGGCTCGACGGTGCTGACGGTGAGCGCGGTCTCGGCGGGGCTGATGTTGATATCTCGCATAACACGAATATCTGGCAGGGTGCAAAGATCTAGTTGAGCCCGCACATCCGACAGGATGCGCAGGTACTCAGACCAATCAGGCATAGCAGCAGCCATCCTGGGGATTCAGATCAGGCGAGGGAACCTACTTAGCTGCAGATTTTCCTGAAGTCCTGCTGGATTCATAGGTGGTCAGTCGTTCTGTCACGTAGGGCAAGGAATGAAGTGGAGAGAGAATCCATGTGCAGAACTTATTTAATGAAATAAAAACATGTAACTTAACCAGAAACTCAGATCAGGAACACGGAACAGCAAGACAGGAACATCAACGACTGACAAGGAACAACTAAACTACAGGGGTATAAATACAGCGGAAAACTAGCTAGACAAGATAACAAGGGGGTGTGGTTAACGAGAAACACCTGGGAAGACTAATCAAACTAATGGGGAACTGAAAACATGAGAGGAGACAGGGGAACACAGACTTGAATATGACAGTTCAGTAGTTACTTCTTAGTTATTTTTCTTGAACCTTAGTAGATAATTAGTAGTAGTTCTTCAGGAGGTGACAGAATTCATTAGTTATTGATTAACTAACTGATACTTAACACAATCATAAAATTATATTACATACTAGTTAACACATCTTCCTTAGTAGTTAACAGTAGTGAAGAGTTAATGAAGAATTACCTATTAGTTCGTCAATAATTCCTTATTAATTCTGCAGTAAGTAAGATACAGTATTCTAAAGTGTTACCGAAAAATGTATAGGTTTCAATATTCATACTATGTTTGTATGACTCAGTAAAGGCATGACATTCGGTTCTATTTATGTAATGAATGCAATCGTATTATTTAACGCGCTATTATTATGTTTGAGATATCAACCACTGGTCGATAATGCTTGTGTAAACTGTAAGTAACAACAGGTAAAATGTACACCTATGTGATATAAAAACCATAATGATATTTACACTAACCTCCAATTTCCACCAACTGCGAAACAGTTACGGATCCGCTCAGGAACGGCGGCGGAGTCAATAGGTTTCCATTAAAGTCAATGCGTGTATTTTCTGACTCCGGAACGGCTGCGTTCTGACTCCGTCCCAGCTCCCGCATCCCTCTGGAGAAGATATGCAGAGTTTAGTTTAACTCGAGCACAGAAACTAAATAAAACTTAATTTCCAAAAATAAAAATATATAGTTTTCCCTTTTCCAACAAGAACACTTTATTTACACAGCCTACTACTTTCCCAATACATTCAAAAAGGAACCCAAATAAACATTTAGCATTTTTTAAGTTGATTATATTTAATTATAAAT